GGCTGATTAGGAAGTATGACCATGACAGCTGCATTGACTTTTTCAAGACTTTTCTCACTCCGTCCTGTTCAGTGGTAGGATGGCCATCGGCACTGGTGCGATCCCCTCCTCAAGATAATTTTGTAGGAGTGAAATTTCTTTCTCAAAGAGGTGGCACAACTTTAAGAATACTGATATCTTTTTCCAAACAGCACCCAAGAGAAATTTTTAAAAATTGGTTTACAATCTTTACCAACAGTACTCACCAGCGCGCTGAGCATTGGTAACTTTCTTTCACTTTTGCCAGAAAGATAGGTGAGAAATATCTCCCTGTTGTTCACTTTTGCAATTCGTTGATGGACAGGGAAATTATCTATTTATTTACTACTTATTCTTCTTTTCTGAACTAGCTATTTACATCCTACACATTTTCCATGAGGCCTTGTCTAAACCCTAGTCTGGGTGTCTTTAAAGGATTAGAGATGGTGACTTCAGGTGGCTTCTGGAGTTGTCTGGGCAAAGACCAGGGCAGGGAAATGGGAAATTTGGGTTGGAGTCTCTTCAGAAGTGTAATAACCATGATTTCTAGTTTCTGTATTTGATGCTTTCACATCTTGGGGTCTTGCGGACCACAGAGGGACTGTCCCTCCCAGGCCTAGTCAATTCCTGGAGATACAAACAATTTACCTGTGAATGTGCCTTTCATATGCAAACCAGCCAATCTAGAACCCATACTCCCAACCACCCCCTCCTTTGTGGGGCTCTCACACTCACACTGGAGTGGGGGGACCTGTACTATTCTCTTGTTCTAATCACCCCAAGCAACCAGGAGCCAGACAACTAGAGACAACGCCTATGCCCCAGATCCCTCAGAAATTATTCACACCAACCAATGCTAATCCTGCTCACCCTGCCTCTCCCATCCCCTCCTGCAGAAACCCAAAGAAAGGCTCTTGCTCCCTTTGCTTCCTGACCCTTCCCCACGTGCCTTTCCCCCACCACCCCTTGTGGCGTGGCGTGCCCCTCCTCTGGGGGTCTGTGAGTATAACAAGCTATGCTCCCAATGGCGATAGTCTCCTGCTCCATCAACCTTGCTGTATCTGAATAATAATGAAACCTACTTTTTAAAACAATAAGCGTCACCTTCACTCAGCACAGCTGGATCATTCTGCAGTCCTTCTCTAACTGGTCATTTTCCTGTTGCTTTGCGTTGCTTCCCCCCATGGATTTGTCTCCCCACTTTCCCTAGGTGACGGAGATGCCAAAGATTACTCAAAGCCCATCTCTTCTGAGCAGTGAGAAGCCCCAAAGTGGTTAACTTCCCTCCAGCGAGAGGCAACCCTTCCTCGGGAAATTAATGCCGAATTGGGGTTCTCTTTCTGCATTTATTTTCCAGACCAGTAAGTTACAGGACGAAACATAGGTGGGGTTATAGTTTAACAGTATAGGCTGGTAACTTTCAGTGAAACAAGTCAGTTGACTTTCCAGTAAGGCAATTAACAAAAGCTTGATCT